TTCTCCCTCACCAACTAGAGTAAAGGAAGGGGGGTGTCTCCAATATGTGCTATCATGATGCCTCTAAATCAGCATAGTTCCACAGTTGGTGTGCCACTACCCTTATGGTAGGTATCACAGATGCATGTAGAAGACGCATTATGAGGCATCTGATGAGGGCAGAGTGGTTTATGAACAATTGCTTTTTATACTAGCCAGTGTATCTGTGAAGATTCTCAGACATCCAGGTGAGGTTATCTGGAAGTTGAGTTGTGGTAACTGGACTTCTTTCTTATTAGGTTGAAAAGTTTTGCTACTAATCCAAGTAGCTTCTTTAGTCTATATCAGCCAGTGCTATAATGAAGAAATTAACTGATTATGAGGGCTGCCCCACACATTGCAGGTGGAACCTCATTCCAAAGAAGTTATGGCAGGAATGAGGAAGAGCCCAAAGTCCTCACTCTTATGTTGGAACAAAAAAATGGACCAAACATTGCCAAATAGCACAAACGGGTGGCACACAGCAGTTAAGATGAAAAGTGAGAGCTTAACCAATTTCACTATAAGGTAAAGGTAAAGGTTCCCCTTGACAATTTTTTTTTTGTCCAGTCGTGTCCGACTCTAGGGGGCGGCGCTCATCCCGCTCTTCAAGCCATAGAGCCAGCGTTTGTCCGAAGACAATCTTTCCGTGGTCACATGGCCAGTGTGATTTAGACACGGAACACTGTTTACCTTCCCAACGAGATGGTCCCTATAGATCTACTCGCATTTGCATGCTTTCGAACCGCTAGGTTGGCAGGAGCTGGGACAAGCAACGGGCGCTCACTCCGTCGCGTGGATTCAATCTTACAACTGCTTGGTCTTCTGACCCTGCAGCACAGGCTTCTGCGGTTTAGCCCACAGCGCCACCACGTCCCCAATACCAAATCCAAAAAGAGACTTGTGGCACGTGAAAAACAAGAAATTTCATGGACAGCATGAAGGAAGCCTAAGTTTTCAGACACTTATACAGACATGGAGGAGAAAAGAAATGTAACATAATCTTGGACTTTTTGCATTTCTTATTGAGGCTATGCTTCATGCACCTGAAGAAATGAGGTACAGTTCCTGAAAGCTTATTGACCTTTAAAGTGCCACATGTCTCTTTGGTATTTTTGTTGCAGGGCTACTCCTTCAGTAATTTCTTTGCAATATTCCGAGAAACAAAATAATAAATGATACAACACTGTCAGAGTGCAAAGGAGTTATTTCCTATAGAATGTAGCATGCCACTTCCAAAAAAAGAAAGGAGAGAAAAGAAAGAGAAAAAGCCTATGGACTGGGATGCTTAAAGACATGCTGCAGGTTCTAAGGAAGCAACACCAGTGAAATGCCCATTATCTTGAAGATTAATTTCTAGCAATTCCTAAGTGACCAGGACTTCTTTCTCCTGGAATGCAGATGTGCATGGTGAGCCTTCTCTCAGATCTTACAGAAAACTCCCCCCAGATCCAAATGACTTTTCCTTTTTCACTTGGAACTGTTGCTCCCCCCCCCCCCCCGTTTCCCCAACCTTTTGATACTTCTCCAATGCCCTGTTTGTATCGTGCTCCTGTTTGTTCTGGGAGCAGAACAAATTTCTGAGGGCAAGATCTTTTTTATAGGATATTGGCACTGCCATAAATGAGTAACAAGGGAAAAACTAGTTCTGAGCCCAGAAACCCAGTGATTTTTCAATGCACAGAACATAGTTTGGTATGAAATACTAAGCAGTAGATTTATCGTGGAGAAATGATCAGAAGTTGATAAGAGCAATAGGTGGCAGTAGAGTGAGCAAGGAAGCTACACTATGTGTTAATCAGGAAAAGTACCTGCTTGTTAAAACTTTAATTCTATAACATTCAGTTCTTTCTCATGCTCCTAATTCTGCTCTGGAATTATTATTCCCAACTGTAACACATGCTCAGTGAACATTATGAAAACATGAGGAATAATAACCCTGGATAGAATTCAAAGCATTCCATCATTCATGGGCCATTAAAGACATTCTTCTTTTGTTTATTCATGCAGTCCTTAGCCCTACAAAGTACCCAGGAAAACGGTAAGGACTCATTAATGCATGCCCTCAAGTGCCTTCTTGCTTAGCTAACTAAAATTTAGCTTACATTTCAAGAGGTTTATAAACACAGTCATGGTACAATACAGTTTTATATTTTTTTAAGACAAGTCTTGAAGTCACGCACTCTTCACTTTCAAACTCGTAAAGGCTTAGTATTAACTTTAGATCAATTCTAGCATGGGATGGGGAGCAGAAGATACATCTGTATCGACTGGTAGGTCTGAGAATAATTTATAGTAGATCATCAAAAGTTTCTGATCCTGAGTTTTTGAACAATAAAAAGACATATATTACACGGCTCAAAAGAAGAAAGCTTAGAGGTAACTAAGAGTGCATTTTTGTGGAAGAATTGTGAGCTTCAAGTTCTGGTACTCAAAGCACATTCCTGGGCTCTTTCACCCTTTCACAATAGAATTCATGCATTACAAATGTTTACATTTTGCATCAGCTCCAGATGGTGGGTTTCTAGGTTCTGATAAAAAGCAAATCAAAACAAAGTAGATCCCACAAGCTGAAGTCTGCCCACCACCATTTGAGTAGAGTGGCAACACTGATGGGGGCAGATCAGACAACTTTGTTTCTCACCAGATTTGCCAATTATGTGGCCCAAGTTGAATATGTGACCCGGATCACTTGGAAACTGATGTTCTGGCCAGGCAGTTCTGAGAGCTATAATTTTTTTTTTTTTAAACATCCTTCAAAACTTCGGCTACATTTCCAAGCTTTGGCTACACTAACCAAGTTAGGTCAAAGATAACAAATGCAGGGTAAGCTTGTCTGCAAAGAGCTGTGCTTGTGAAGAGCAGACCTATTGGACTGCTAATCGCCCAGAGTAATGCCAACCACTCAGAGTAGTGCCTTGGCACTAGCGGGAGCAGTAAATAAATTGAAGAAATAATAACATTGCCATGTAACTGTTTCATCATGAGCTGTTGTAACCTGTCCTTCTTCAATCCACACTGACAGCTTGGCAGTTATGCATGGCAGTTATGACAAATTGTTGAGTCTTTTTTAAATTTCTTACACAAGTAGTAAATGCTGGAGTATCAGATATGGCATATAGATGAGGTAGTTTCTCAACAAAGAGAAAGGGAAGAAGGGGGTAGACTGGCTCCATTAGGTTGTGGAACTCCTTCCCAATCAAAGTAAGGCAGACCAGCTGACAAGGTCAAAAAGACAATGCCTTCTTATTCAGGCAGGATTTTGGCAACTGACCATTTGTAATTGTATGTTAAAGCCTAGCCAGACTGGCTGTTTTAGGTCTGGGGTGGACCAGGAGAGAGAAGCAATGCGCCATTTGGTGTGCTCCTCCTGTCCGAACTGCAAATGACCCTTTGCAGCACAATCAGGTGTCAAAGGAGAGACAGCAAATGAGGAAGGGAAGAGGAAAGAGGTGGAAAGTGGAGGGAGAGGAAAAGGGGCCTAGGACAGAAAGAAGCAAGGTAGGGAGAGCAAAGAAGATGCTGTTTGGATGGGGAAGGAAATGGAATTTGGCAGGAGCAAAGAGGATGGAAGAGCTACCAGGAGAAGGCAAAGAGTATACTAGAAACAGCATGTGAAACTGTTGGAAGAAAAGGAGGACATTAATTGCATTTTAATCATTTTATCTTTTATTGTATTTTAATTGTATTTTAATTGTTGTAAGCCGCCCAGAGGCCCTTGGGTAGAATGGGCAGAATATAAGTTAAATAAATAAATAAATAAATAAATAAATAAATAAATCAATCAATCAATCAATCAATCAATCAATCAATCAATCAATCAATCAATCAATCAATCAATCAATCAATCTGGGAGGGAAATTTTAAAAAAAGATAGGAGGAATTATGAAAGAAAGGAGGCAGGGGAACAGGAAGGCAGAGCGTGGAGAGTGAAGAGGTGAGGCATGCAGGATAAGGGCAGAAGGGGTGGTCCTTTACCACTGCTGAAGTCACTGGCATTGGCTCAGTCTCTCAGCCACCTACAGCACATTATTCATGGTGCCATTTTCTTTCTCTCCCTTGGAATCTGCAGCCATGATAGCAGAGGCTGCTATAGTGTGCCAAAAAGAATGCATGCCCTAGTGCTAAGCCAGAAAGGTGCACAGCAGGATAGTTTAATCTAAGTAGAAACACAAGTGGACAGTCTTTTTTCTGATCCAAACTGCCCTCCATGATCCACATATCATATCTACAGTAAATGCCATTGTGGACAGGCCCTTAGTATTATAATTTTCATGAGTGCTTTCATCTGTATAATTTGTCTGCATTTGTATGATTACCTGTGCCATGATCTGTACTTTTTATCTTGATATGAGCTGCCTTGATCCTTGCCTTGAGAGAATAGTGGGCTATGTACCAAGTAAATACCAGCCTGGGAAAGTCTGAAAAGGTACCATAATACTCTTTGTTGTTTTCCATTCCTGTTTAATCTGTGGTGTTCCCAAACTTTTTTCAGAATCACCATAGCAATTGTTTCTCTCTCTCTCTCTCTCTCTCTCTCACACACACATACACACACACACACACACACTTTTACCCTCCCTCCCTTATATGTACACATAAATACACATTCTATTTACATATGGCTGTAATTTACAATTTAAACAGCAAGTGACATGTAAAACTTCCCCTGATTTGTGTTTTACCACCTAGAATGTTATCTGTATACCAGCAATCACTGCTAAAGAACTGGTGACATTCATATAGGGCATGTTCTGGCTTTTAAGCAGGCAATTCTGAGACTGCCTGAATGCCAAGTAAACATTTCCCCAGGAAAGGGGAAACAAGAGAAAAACCATCTGCTTGTTTCTTGTTTCTTATGTCAAGTGGGCCTTCTGCCAAGTAGTTATTAAAGTAATTAAGGGGAAGAAACAGTCTAATATATTCATTATGCAAATGAACAAGGTTAAAAAAGAAAGGAGAGAAGTGGCTGGTGCAAATACCTCCGTTTCTTGCAGAGTCCCTTGGCTCAAGCATACCATATCTGGACAAGTGATGGGGGAACCACAACCCTCACGGATAGCCAACTGCATATACTGCTCTAGGCACTAGAAAGGAAGGAGAAGAAAATACAGATAAGTTAGGAACTATATCAAACTAGCAGGTATGGCTACTATGTTGGTGGCATAATATGGCTTTAACTAGCTGTTCAAGAGCTCCAGTGCTTCAAAACCATTAATTACAACTAGAGAGAAAATACTCTTTTAAGAATTGAATACAGACATGTTCAAAATGGATGAAAACATTATCTAAACATTTAGCTTATCCATTAAAAGAAAGTCAAGTTTGGAAAGCAACAGGCAACATTTTTCTCTACTTTAAATTTCTGTTCTAATCATCATTTGTACATTCAGTCCCTTTCACTTGATCAGAGCCAGGAAAGATGATGACAACAACACTGCAATTCTAAAAGTCACTGACGTCACCTGTTCTTGTTTCTATTTAAGCCTTTAAGATATTATGAGGAAAATATGTTCCCTCCCCCTTTAAATGGCATTTGATTGATAGAATCCCACAGAGGACATGTAGCTTTTACAAATTACCTGAAGCAGAAAAAAATACAACCAATAAGTCTAAACAAGTAAGTCATGACATTTTTCGTATTAAAATGAAAATTAGGTTGAGGGAGATTATGATTCTGAGTGAAATAGTTGCAGGGATGAAAAAAAGAACATATAACTCAGTGTGCTGGCACAATCAAAGTGAAGAAAAGAAGAGAGAGAGAGAGAAAGCAAAATACTGTGACACTTTAAAGATTATCTGATTTATTTCAGTGCCAGTTTAAGAGGATCAAAACCCACTTCTTCAGACACTTCCTGTGACTTTTGTTTCACAAGAGCTCACACTGAAATAAACCCATTCAAATACTAAATAATTTAGCTTTTTAACTCTTCCTGCCCCCCCCTTTAATTTTGCCACCATGCTATGACAAAATAACTCAGTTCTTTGGAAATCATTCAGTATTTAAGCAATATCTTGGTAGCCATGGATAACCAGGAACGGTATGTGGGTGAGAGCACAGTAGAGAAAGGATGACGCCTCCTTTGCAATCAGCATAGAGGCACACTCTCTGCCCCTCACTCACCAGACTCCAGCTGTCTATCACACATTTCTGCTATCTAGTAACTGGAGGAGCAGATTCCTCCCCCCTCAAAACTCCACCATCTTTTCTTCTGTAGGCTTCCAGCTAAATTTACAAGGACAGTAATGCATCTGGAATGCTACAATGGAGAGGGTGAAGCAATTTGGGTCCTTTGAAGGAGAAAGGTGGGGTAAAAATACTTTAAATAAATAAATAAATATTTTAAGTGCAGCAAAAAAAAAAGGCTGACATCCCCCACCCCAAGAAAGTTGTGAACACACACCTTGCTGCCATTGCTCTGTTCATGAAAGATGGGTGAGGGTTCCTTTTGCATAATGTTTAGCTAGCCATAGTCAAGCAGGGCATTCTGATCTCAGGTTGCTAGGTAATGAATCAGTGAGTCACTTGTCCTTCACTCACTTATAAGTCCATGTTATTATTCTAGACCACTTTATAGATAATCTTCCTCCACAACCACAAACATAAAGGACTGGTATCAGTACACTGCATGGCTTTTTTTCAAGTACATTCAGTCCTTCATTCAGTATGTTCCATTAACTTTCCCTCCTTTGACACTTTAAAAGGTTTCCAACTGACTAATTGCAGCCCTTGGTACTTTGCAAAAGCAAATGGCAAAAGGAAAAAAAATGCAAGTGCAATGTGACATATTTGAACATCTAGGTTGCACCCAGGAAAGTTGGTGGGAATGTAGAGGGGCTTTGAGAGCAAGTTTTAGGATACGCCCGCCTTGCTCATGGAATATTTGGCTCTCTGCCATCTGTAAACCCCTTGTGTCTTCTTAAAATTCATTCCCTCTTATTTCTTGCCACAGAAAATGCACACAGGAGGAAAGACAGAATAGTTGCGTTGTGCCTTTTAACTGGTAGTACTAGAAGCTCTCTGGCCAGAAGCACTCCAGGTAAAACATAACACGAGAAAGTCAATACCTCTTGTAAACAGAGCTCTACTGTAAACAGAAACTCTAGAACTATGTGCTCAGAGAAGCACTTTGATTAAAAAAAAACTGCAGTAGAGTTACTGGGAAAATCAGAAAAAAAGACAATACATATACACATTTGGAAATTCGAAGCACAAGTATCAATAATGGAAGAATGTATGAGTTACATAGCCCTTTGGCAGTTAAGAAGTGGATCGTTCCACTGTTTGATCTAGGCATGGGCTGGCTCACTCCTTTTACTGGCAACCACACAACATGTGTATCACTGCAAACCAGCCCATGCCTGATGCATGCTTACCGGCACCCCTTTGGTCCCTGCTAGTGGCAACTAGTTTGTTGGTTGGTTGGTTTTTTTGGTGTAGGTGGGATCTCTCCATTTTGATTTGGTTCCAATGTGTGACTGCTGGAATAAAATCAAGGCAGGAGGCTTAAGCTGTCTGCCCACTCCTCCATGGAGCAGGAGAAAGAGGAAGCAAATATTTGTTTGTTTTGCTATTTTTAAAAAACCTTGTAAGGCAGTGCTGATGCACTATGCCTTTTAGGTTTTTTTTAAAATTGCAACAGCTTTTTGTTTTGTTATTTTCTTTCTTTCTTTTTTCTTTTTCTTTAAAGGGAGAAAAGGGCCAGATAAGGTCACTTGAGGTGCAGTGTGATTTCTCACTCAAAACCTTCACATGTAAAGATTACACCAAATGGCATACCACAGCTCTATGTAACCTTAAGCGACCCTATTTAGCCTGATCTAGGTTGGCCATCTAGTCATCAGACTGGATTGGGCTAAATAGGGTTGTTTAAGGTCAAGGCAGTATACCGTTTGAGTTGTGGTAAAAGGGGATTTTAACCAACTGCCTTTTTGGAGGGTAAATTATTTGTTATTTTGAGCGCTTGTTTTCTTAAATTTCAGAGCAAAGAAACAAATAAAAAAGTATGTTTTCTTTCCATAAACTGTGTAGGAAAATGATTAATATAATGTTTTCATTATATTAATCATTAATGTTTTCATCCTTTTATTTTTCATTTTGTTTTGTTAAATAGAAATGCTCCAAAGAACAAATATTTTTTTAAAAAAAATTAAATTTCAAAGAAAAGAAACAAAAATGTGTAACAAAATGATACCACTGGCTGGATAGCTCAGTAGTTTAGGTCTCTGGAGAGTTTGTTTCCCCACTGTGCCTCCTGCAAGTACAGCCAGCCTGTGTGGCCTTGGGCAAGCTGCACAGTCTTGAGATGCCACCAGAAAATGGAATGCTAAACCACTTCTGAGTACTATCTACCTGGAAAACCCTGAAAAAGGTTCCTATAAGTCAGAAATGACTTGATGGCACATTATTATTATTATTAAGAAAAGAATGGAGATTATATATATATATAGTATGGTTATATTGAAATGTGTTGTATATACATATCCTGTTAATTCAGGCAATAGATTTCCAATCATAAATCAAATCAAGTTCAAAATAGCTAAGAGAACATTAGTAAATGGCTGGAATCCTGTTGAGCAACTTTACACTACACAACCCAAATGGTGTCATCAACTGCACCCACTTGGGAGGAATCAAAAGTTTCACATTTCCCCCTGATTCAGATAAAACCAGGTTCCTCCTCATCCTGAGGAAGCATCTGGGAGCTGTGCAATGGCGGGGGTCTCTTTAATGCCTGAAAATTGCCAACTTGGGTCCTTTTCCCACTGCTAGGATCAGTAGCAGCAATTTCCAGTTCCCAAAGATTACCCAAAGGGTGCCCTAGAAGCTGGGGGGAAAGGAAACCTTTAAACCCCACCCATTGCCACAGTTGAAGATATTATCCAAGTTGCACAGTGTTAAGTCACATAACAGGATTTGAGCCAATATCTCTTTATCCATTCCAGTGTTTAATAAGAAGAATCTTGCTTCCTTAGAAAGCTTGGATAGCATTGAGTGACTGCTTCATAGTTTTAAAGATGTAATTTTATGCACAATCATACCTTCTCATAATCTTCTTTCCTGGGGATTAACTATAAGGACTTTTGTTGATCACCACACTTAGCTAACAATAAAAGGACCTTTAATTACAGTTATGATCCCATGGATGAAATCCTGTTGCTGAACGTAGTAAGTCACAACTAGAGTAGGCCCACTGAATCAATAGGGCTTTGATGAGTTAACTTTTCCGAAAATTCCACTGATTCACTGGGTATACTCTAGTTGTGACTTACTGACTAAACAACAGGATTTCAGCTGTTTTACCATGTGACAGATCTACCAAATATGGGCAAATGTAACATTTCCTGGCGTGCTCTGGTCCATGGGGTTACGAAAAGTCAGACACAGCTTAATGACTAAACAACAAAAACAACAAAAACAACAACATTTCTATAGCCTTAGAACTTAAAGGCAGTTGGGAACATTTTCAGTATTTCAATATTAATATAAGACCATCTGGCTGTAATGTTACAGAAGTGTTCCTGTGAATTTATGTCTAATACACACTCAACTGTATGAATATAAACATGTTTCTAACAAATACTCTTTCATATATCTCCATCTCAAATCCTCTTTCCCAGTTTTGTTTATCTTCTAGAAAGTGAAAAGTATTTATGTCGAAAGTAAAGTGGTAAATTTTTGAAAGGGGTCCCTTTTGTATATTGCAAATTAACAGTTTACCACCTATATAATCTCTGCAGACATCCCTCCTTCTGATTACTTCTTGAATTTAACTATTGATCTGAAGCTGCTAGAAAAATAGAAGAGACAAAGTTGCATTGCTTTAGACTAGTCAAGCATGTGGTACAATTGCTTAATGAGTAATAACATTCTTGTCTGATTGCCACTTTGACCAAACAGTTCCATTCCTCTTGAGCTCTTCAAAACACTATACTATTGATAAGGTTATTTGTAGTTGTTTAGTCATTAAGTCGTGTCGGACGCTTCGTGACCCGATGGACCACAGCATGCCAGGCCCTCCTGTCTTCCACTGCCTCCCGGAGCTGGGTCAAATTCATGTTGGTAGTGGTTGTTGTGGGTTTTTCA